AAAAAAAAAAAAAAAAATTAAAAAAAACCTGACAAACCTCTAGCCAGGCTCACAAAGACAAAATGGAGAAAGCACAAAATAACAGGATCATAAACAAAATAGGAAAATTACAACAGATACAGCAGAACTCAAAAGAATAATCAAGGATTATTATGAACAGTTATATGGAAACAGTTCAACAATCTAGAAGAACTGGCCAAATTTCTAGACGTATACAATTATCCAAAACTAGATAAAGAAGCAATAGAACACCTAAAGAGACCAATTGCAAGAAGTGAAACTAAAATAACAATTAAAAACCTGTCCCAAAACAAAAGCCCAGAACCAGATAGCTTCAAAATTGAATTCTATTAAACATCCAAAAATGAACCAGTGCTTAACCTACACAAATCTTTCAAAAAATTGAGAAGGATTACTACCAAATACATTTTATTGAGTCAACATGACCCTAACACCAAAACCAAACAAAGACAACACACACAAAAAGAAAACTACAGGGCCCTCCCTGGTGGCGCAACGTGTTAAAGCACAGCGCAGTACTACTAGTCTCAGCCTCTTAAGCACAAGTTCAAATCCTGGCCACCAAGGTGACCCACATGGTGCGGCAGATCTCTCCTGACCCACCCAATGCTCCCCTCAGCAGTGTACTTCAGTCAGTCTGCCTTTTGTGCTCCCCACTCTGTCTCTGGTGAATCCTCCCTCTGCTCCTGCACCTCTGGCCTGTATGCCAGTTCTGTATGCATAAATAAATAAATAAATAAATATTAAAAACAAAAAGAAAAATACAGGTCAATCTCTATAATGAACACTGATGTAAATATCCTAGCCAAAAGAATCCAACAATACAGCCAAAGGATAATTCACAATGACAACGTGGGATTTGTTCCAGGGACACAAGGATGGTTCAACATCTGAAAATCAATTAATGTAATACAACACATCAACAAAAATGTGTTGTATTACATTTGATAATATACAAAGATGCAGAGAAAGCACTGACAAAGTTCAACATCTGTTTATGATGAAGGCCTTTAAAATTCTTGGGATAGAAAGAAAATACTTAACTATAATAAAAGGCATATAAGACAAATTCATAGCCAATCATCATTCTCAATGGTAAAAAAGCTGAAAGCCTTTCTCTTAAGATCTGGAATAAGATAAGGATGTCCACTCTCAACAGTGCTTTTCCATACAATATTGGGAATCCTAGACAGAGCAATAAGACAAGAGAAAGGCAAACAAGGAATCCAAACAGGGAAGGAAGAAGTAAAACTATCATTATTTGCAGACAATATGATAATACAAGAGAATCCTAAAATCTCCACAGAAACAGTAATCAAAATAGTCAGTTTAGTAAAGTAGCAAGATACAAAATCAACACACAATAATCAGTAACTTACCTATGAGAAAACAGTCAACTGAAGAAGAAGAAAGCAAGAAAACCATTCATTTTAAAATTGAAACAAACAAAAAATACTACATACTTGGGAATAAATCTAACAAAAGAGGTGAAGGACCTATACAAAGGAAATTATAAAACATAGTTAAAAGAAATACAAGAAGACAAAGAAATAGGAGGGCATCCCATGGATTGGAAGAATTAACCCATTCTATCAAAAGCAATTACAAATTCAATGCTCTCCAAAGCTCTCCTGACTAAAAAGGAGACTCAAACTATACAACAAAGCTATAGTAATTAAAATTGCATGGTCCTGGAATAAAAACAGACACACAGACCAATGGAATCCAACAGAAAATCCAGAAATAAACCCACATATTTATGGGAAACTGATCTTCAACTAAGGAGCAAAGAATTTGCAATGGAACAAAGCCAGTTTATTCAATAAATGGTAGTGGGAAAACTGGAGTGCTACAGGCAAAAGAATGAAGATAGACTAATACACCATACACAAAACCAACCCAAAGTGGATCAAACACTTGCATTTAAGACCTGAAACCATAAAAATATATTGAAAAAACACTATAAGATATACATCTAAGTAACATTTTTTTTTTTTAATTATAAATTTTTTATTCATACAGAACTGGGGTACAAGCCAGAGGTACAGGGGCGGTGAGAGGCTTCACTAGAGACAGAGCGGGGAGCAGAACTGGTACATCAATGAAATACACTGGGGAGGGGTGCAGTGAGCAGGTCAGGAGAGGTCTGCTGCAGCATGTGGACCACCTCCAGGGCCAGGAATCAAACTCACACTGAAGTGGCTGTGCTAGCTTGCAGTGTTGCATCTTAACCTGCTGCACCACCAGGGAGGGCCCTAAGTAACATCTTTAAAGACACAGCCCCCAAACTAAAGAAAGTGAAGGAAAAGAACAACTGGGACTATATCAAACTAAAACACTGAAACAAAGAGATATTCTACTAAATTGGAGAAAAAAATTGCACTCCATACAAATGATAAGGGACTGATCACAAAAATCCACAAAGACCTGATGAAACTCAACCAAAACAAAGCGACCAATTCAGTCAAAATATGGGCAGAAGAACTAAAAAGACTTCTCCAAAGAGGAAATGCAAATCGCCAACAGGCATATGAAAAGATGTTCAACATCACTTGTAAACAGGGAAATGCAAATCAAAAGCACAAAGAGCTACAACCTTACAGCAGTGCGAATGGCACATATTAGTTAAAAAAAAAAGAAGACAAGTGTTGATGGATGTGGAGTAAAAGGAACTCTCCTATACTGCTGGTGGGAATGCAAAATGGCCCAACTACAATGAAAGCTGTATGGATGTTCCTCAAACTGTACACAATAGGATACCACTTAGTAATCAA